TTTCATACTGGTGAAGCTGATAAAATCAAAACTTCTATCAAGAAGAACGAAAATTAGGTTACCCAAAATCGGTCAAGACAGCGAGGAGGCTACCGAGTTTAAGAAGACCTAAAGATTCCAGGAATCGGGGATGAATAAAAGAGATGCATGGTAAGACATAGAGGAAACAGCGATGGATCTAAAATTCGAAATAGCTTTTTATCAGCTAAAAAAAAAGAAGAAAAAAAACGTAAAAATTTAATTATAATTCTCATTTGTTTCTGTTATTTTCTTTATTGTATTACTTTTTCGGCATCTTGACTCGTCGAAATTAACCTTGACCTATTAATATTCATTGATGTTTGTAGACGACCATATACAATTAGATGAATAATATTGTCTTATTTTGAGATGAAAATTTAGTGGTGCTTGAATAACGCAGATATTATAATTTGTATTAATCGACTGATAAGTGACAACCACCATGGTTCTTATGGTATAAATCTGTTTGAACGTCCGATTATGAACGGAACATTTAATAGGTGCAATAGTTAAGTACGGTAAACAAAATTAAAAAACAAAATAGCACTTTGCTTAAAAATGTTAAATTAACAAATTAATTAAAATAATACAGTTGTTTTTTTCGTTATATTAAAAATAACCTTTTGAAATAGTGGCCGTTGGAAGATACATTGTTATTTATAATGTATATTTACACTATATGTTAAAGGTATGAGACAATTTTTTATTTGGTTAACAACAATTAAAAGGCAATACACACTTAGAGTTTAAATCAATATTAGTAAAGGTACTGTTATTAGTTTATCCAATTCTGTCTGCTGGAGAATACACAGTTTATTTACTTTGTTATGACGGTGGTATGCATGTTACATATCCAATTTTATTACATTAATATATTTTTTGGTTACCAATGCGTCTGTAATAGCTATTACGTACGACCTGGCTTAAGTAAATTACCTATGCAGGTACTCCAATTATGTTATCCTACATATTCACTAATCACTATATAAAGTTTTATATCTTGGAACTAACATATAAGTCGAACATTTTATAAAAAATTGTAAGGGTAGTATAAAAGTGAGAATTAGATTTTAGCAATAAAGTAAGTTATAAATGTAGGTCAGGCCAATGAAGTGAATGTGCTGGGACCACATAATTACAAGTTGACCATTGTAATAAATCGCGGCCGTCACCGCGAATTCGTCGAGTGTTAAGCTGCTATCGTAAAGAGTTCGGCAGGAATGTGTGTGACGGTCGTGTGCGGACAAGTGAATTGTTTGATGTTTGTTATAAATCAAATAATAAAAGTGACCAAAAACTATGTTAAATTTTATTCTAATCGTTTGACGTTCTCGATTTTTAACAGAACTGTACCGGGATTTGGGTGCTCAAAAGTCGATTAAGTTTTTCTTTTTTAACTCACCATCATTTAGTTAGTTGCGAGAAATCTCAAGTCACTCTGTTATATAAAGAACGAACATAAAATAGACAAACGCATGCCATCGTGCCTCCCCAAATCGAACAGTGCTCTCCCAAATACCCAAATAATTTTAGAGAGAGCCAATAGCTAAGAGTGTACGAGGATACGACGAAGGCAGGTTTATTGCTAGAAGTGATATGACAATATTGTGAATATTTAACAAACGAGTGATCTAAACAGCGAAATATAAAATAATATTGTTACTGTACAAACTCAAGACTTTTTAAGTATTATTCTCTTGACAATTTATGGAATTCATATTATAATAATTTTAAATACATCTAATCAATCGAAAAAGTAAAATAACTATTTTGTGCACCTACATAAATAATATTATGAATAATGCAGCAACAGTAATAAATTAATAAATCATTTTATGATATTATCGAAAATATGGATTTGTGAACTATGTACTTGTATAACTTAATATGTCGAACGTCAATATGTTTTTGTCTCAGTTTATCGAACATGATTGTGGAGTTAAAAAGAAAAAAAATATAACATCTGTGTCCAATATTTCCCAATCAATAGAGAAAAGTTTTGTAAATACAACATTCTTTCGGTACACACAGACATGACAAAAAACAATTTATTGTAAAACCAATAGTGTCAACGTTTCATTCGAAATCTAATAATGTTTCAACAACAATAAACATTATATTTTTACCAATACGTTAGAACTGAATAATAATAAAGGTTAGTCAAAATGCATACTATACAAAGTAATTGTAACAATAATATTTTGTACTTACAATTATTTTATGTACCTGTGCATAGGCTAACCTAACATAATCTGGCCGAGTTTCTTCAGAGTCGTGATAAATAATATTGAATTTATCAATTTTAATTTAGGAACACAAAAATAGGATACGATTAAGTTACTAAAATCATGTTATACAAATTGTACCTTTATTACTACTACTAAATGTGTAAATAATAACAATTGTATTCCCGGTACTTAACTTATAGGTATTTATATAATTAATAATACATACCAAAGCATGAACGTAAACATATTCATAGTATGTCAGGAATATATAAATCTTTACAAATTAAAAATATTAATATGTTGTGTAGTATACGCAATAAAATTTGTAATATTAATATTGTCACTGTATAAAACCGTAGGCTGCTATTAATAAAATGTAAATTGTTTTTTTTCGATATCGAAAATTTCAAAAAATAGTTCATCAATCAAAGTGTATAACAGTGACAGGCCAATATCGTCGAACATAAGGATGAATGAAACTATTTCCGTTCAAATTTCGGAGCTCAACAAATAATAATAATAATAAAAAAAAAGTCTTCAGTAAAAAAATTAATCGTACAGATTTTCAATGACCTTAGTTTTATTTATTAATGAACGATACAAATACATTCATCGTAATTTTTTTTCATCATTTTATAATAATATGTACAGCCACGCGTAAAACGATTGTATAATATAAAATAATTTTTTTCTAAGTATGTATTTAATTTATATTTGGAAATCTACGTATCTTGTACTGTATTGTTATGCACTATAATGATGTACAATCTCAAATATACTTTCATGGTATTATGTGTTTATATAATATAAAAAAAATATTAATGCTACAATAGAAAATCAAAAAAAAATTGAATTGTTACTGTAAAAAACGTATCAATTACTCATTGTTAATAACTGAAGGTTACACTGTTAGTCGAATACCTTTTTAATAGGTACAGTTGTACAAATAACTGGCAATTAAAAATTACAATATACTATATTATAAGTAATCAGTTGTTACAGAATTTAAATAGAAAATAATATTAAACCGATATAAATTATTATGATCCTCTCCTAAAAGTTATATAATATACCATACCTATCTATATTGAACACGATATTGTCTTATTTGAAATTTTTAATATTAATTTACGAAATAGTCTGACAATTTAATCAATTCAGATTATAAATTGATGACATGGTGAATATTAATATTGAAATTAAAAGTAAACAACTATTCGCGTATAAACAAATTAGTAATTGTTAACGTTACTTATACTAAGAGTATTAGGTACCCTTTATTAATAATTGAAATTTTATTTTTAAATTCAGTCAAAAACGTTATTAATTTAATCATTTGACATTTGTTAAAATTCTCATAGTATTCTATTCAAGGCCTGTCAATATATATTTTTTCGATTACGTTTTCATCTAATGATTTTGTTTTCGTATAAGTATAAATATATTATAGCAACCCATGAGAATATTTTAATCTGGTTTGTCTGATAAACGAACTTTAAAAAAATAATTTATTATAACCAAAAAGTATCAAATAATATTTAGTATGATATAATCAAATAATTTTCTGCCCTTGTTATGTATTATGTGTATTTAAAGAATGATCTTTTTTTTGTTTTTGAATCGTTACTAATGATTAATGAATAAAAATATGCACTTCGGTGGTCGAAAAGTGAATACGTGCAATAAATCATAAAAAAAAATCATGTATAACTCAGTAACAAGCACTACTATGTATGGACAAAGTTTAAAAACTTTAAACGTTTTACACTATTATAACTCGAGAAGTATCATGAGCGCAGTAGAATGTATCATGTACTGTTTACCCTTTAAGTTAGACCTCCCAGAAGAAGTCCGCTGCACCACAAAATAAAACACATGTCTGCTACACCAAGTAATCTAACCTAACACTTTATATTATGTATTGTATAAAAACATATAAACGAACCTTAGTGCCTTAGTATTACAGGAAGTATAAGGTCTATACTACTGATACTATTTATGCTAAACAGTCACGTATAGTATTGTCATCATATCGGGTTGATTTACAACAATTTTTAGATGAAATACGTAATTTTAAGTTTTAGGTGAATAAGTTGTCTGTAAGTCGTGTTAAAACTGCTATGATGGTATTAAAAAATATAAATGAAAACAAAATCGAGACGAAGAAAAAAAAAACCGAGGAAAAAATATGATACTTGAGTTTTTGTCAGAAGCCATACATCAATTGTAAATCTTATATATTTCTTTAAAATTCACACTAAGTTAGTACCTATAGATGATAACGTCAAAGGATCTATTCTTAGTTACAACTGAAAAAAAAACTTTTTTCAGTTCTTTGAAATGATACTTTAATAGTTTATATTATTTTTAAATAAATAATTCGATTCCAACGACGGATTTTTTGTTGTTAAATAATTAACTTTTGTAATTAATTTATTTTCGCAGGCGTTCGAATACTATGAAATCTTGGCCCGCGGGAAGAGGCTCTTTAAAAAGTAAATTAAAAATTATATTCCGCGTATCTGATCTAATTATTAACCTTAATGACGTTTAAATTATAATGTCTTTTGAAATGTAAACTGTGTCATATTTTTTTACAATTTCTTATTTTTTATTTTAATTTTTTTAATATTTATAATCCATAGTGACAGTGCAAAGTAAACGTTTTATTTCCATAAATGTATTCTATAAATATGTAATATTTTATAGGTATCAATTTTAAATCTAAAAATAACTGTTTAAGAAGCTTACTTAAATCCACTATGTGTTCAGTATTCAGTGTGTTGTCCAAATGCACGTGTTTGTTTTTGTTTAGTTAAATAAAGATCCATGGCTGTAATAAAAAATAAATAAATATAAATATAAAAAGTATTACAATATATTCAATATTTACGTAAATATGTGTTTATATTATTTGTTAGTTTAATAAAACAAACAATGAAAAAACTACGTACACAATAAATGTTTTAGTCAAATACAGGTATAATTAATGATATTCGACCAAATATTGTGCAGAATAATAACAGATTTACAGTAAGTTTTGTTTCCATGATTAAATAAATATATGATAATAATATATTCATATAGTTCTAAATATTAAATAAACACCACATAAACTTATATTTTACTTTTATCTCTCTAAAACAGGATTCATAATCATTGGGAAACTCTATTCTTAAGTAACTGCTTGGGTCTATACTTAAAAATAATAAATTGTTAACAATACATTATAATATAAACATTTTAAGTATAAGTTATTATTTTATAGAAATATAAAGATATTTATCTAGTGTGCAGCACTTGTTGTTTCAGTATATTTTATATACATCCATTGGATAGAACACAAATCGAGTATACCACATAATAATAATTTTGAGAAAACTATTTTAAGAATAAAAAAATGACTTTGAAATTAATAAATAAATTAAAACAATTTTTTACGACTTACAACTTATACTACTTTTAAATTCAATAAAACAATAAGTGTATCAAATAAATATTTTAATACTATGGCATTGTACATGTTTCAAATTGCCTAGTGTCCTGTAATTGAAAAAAAGGTAAGAAAACAACAGCTTATAATAATGTATATATATTAATGGAAGGAAAGTCTGCAAGAGAATATGAACATACATTTTATAGTTTTAAATTCAAACAAAAATTACAAAAACTACAAGAAACAATACATAATCGAACAAAAAAAGTTTAACCTTCATCTTTTAATATCGAAAAAAATCCGATGGAACGATTAATCATTATGAATTATCAAGTGGTTTTACAGGTAGCAATTTTCTCCATCGTCGTTAACTCGGTACGCGTTAAATACAGGGTGGTATTCTCTAAGCATGCTCGCCCTTCTTTCGACCTTTAGTAATGTATATTTTATTCAAATGTTGCTACTTACAATTTTTTATTTACACTTAAGAGTTAAGACTATATTATTTTCAAATACTCATACTAAGAATATATTTTAAACCATTTAAAATATAATGTCCTGTGGTGATTCAAACAACTTTATTCCCAAATTCAAACGACCCGTATCACTGTAAATATTTATATGCCACAAATCATGATTAAAGGAAAGCTCACAACGTAGGGTGAGTATGGCTAATGGTTCACACTGTATAACAGGTGAGTAATAATAATACGGCCGATTATATTATTCGAAAGTCGATACACAGGTGACAGGTAAGGTGATGGAAAATATTTGAAAACATCAATCCAAACAGGGGCTGTTTTTTTTTTTTTGGCTGAACTAGAATATGACAAAGACAAGACAAATGTCTATCGGAAACACAACTATGCGTGTATAGATTATACACAAACTACTGTTCAAGAGAACTAGTCCTTAAGTTTTCCAGATGACAAGAGAGCAATAAATCACTTTTAGAGTTTCCTACATATTAGTATTATGGCTTTGCTTAGGAAGTGGAACTACTATGTGATCAAGTATAGTATAACTAATAATATATGTTTTACAGTGTCTTATATTGAAGCAGTATCGACATCTATTCATATATATTTTCAAAATGTAAAAATATAGAAATTATTTATTTTTCGGCGAGAGAGTAGAACAGTTCATTTTCATTTATAATATTTGAGTTTCTTTTTGTTTATTAAATTCGTTATTATTATACAAATTACTCTTTAATGCTTAACAATTTTTATTGAAAAAATGGACCATAAATAAACAAAAAATGGAGGAAGTATGAAGTAAGTAAAACTCTCGTGTATGATGGTAAGGGTCAATTGATACTTAAGTGTACTGATCTTTCCGTTGAGTAAGATTATGTAATGTATATGTTTTATCAATGATATTGATTTATTTTCAGCCGTTACTCAATTCTACCTAAATATTTTTATTTTGAAAAACAATAGAAAAATGAACTATAAATAAAAACAAAGGATATGAAGAAGTTACGACTCTGGTGTATAGTAGGTGTCAAATGTACAGAGAATCTCCTTAATGTTACATGTCAAATTTGAATTCAATGATATTCCTATAGCATATTATATAAAAAACGATCCTGAGCAAATACGGTATGTAAGCCTATATTACTAAGTATAGTTTATGACATATTTAAACTGCTATCATAAAAATGTCTTTCGTTATTAGTAATGATTTAAGTAAAATTAATTTTTACCAAAAACATTGCATTCATTTTATTATTGATGTTTAATAATATTATTATAATAATAAGTATTTGTATCATAATATAATCTTGTATAGAAAATTTCACATGCCTACAAATAGTTTGAAGAGAGTCAACATATTTTGAAAATTATACTATGTATATTATAAAATTCTAATATAAACATTTTGTAAAAGTTTCAAAGTTTCAAGGATCTGCGGTTTTTGAATTACAATACAAAATAATAAAACCGATTTTGAGTAAAAATTACTGTTTTCTTTTATTAATTTTTTCTTTTTCTTTGATTATTCTGAATAGTACTGAGATTTTGACCTCTTAAATGTACCAACTAAATCTGATTTTCTACATAAAACTCCCCTCAAATTTAAATTGTGAAGCATTTTTTCTACTTTAAACCGTGCACACAAATCAGCTTGAAAAAAACCGTCATTGTACAAAATCATTGTAAAATAAACACGCTTTCTTCAGAATCTAAAACATAACATTTAGATGGTGAACTGGAGTCATGTGTCAAATTGTTTGTGTTTTAAACGTACTCACTCGAAAACAACATTCAAGGGGTGGTATTAAAAACGAGTTAGAATATTATACAAGGGTAAAATAAAACATGTTTCTAATTTAAACACCTATCTACGAGTATATAATAGTCCCTTTACGTTTTCTTCCACTTGAACCTCTGAGGTTACAACCGTTTCGTATAACCTGGGTCTACAAACAAGTCATTAGTCTGAAAATCTCGGATAAATTGAACCACAAAACGTGATATTATATAAAATGTGATATGCCACTATATAGTGCAAACACAGATATTTCACATTATAAGGGTCAATTTCCCAAATTAATTTAATTATTCCAATCTCGAAACTGTTGAAACTGTCTTCGGCCTTGTTAATGATGAGCACGTATAGTAGATATTATTAATGACGTGCAACATATTATAATATACAAAGGTGCTTGTTTAATTGGACATAACGTTTGTAATATATCGTGTACTGTGTAGTAAGTTTACTGTTTGATGGTCAGGTTGAATACCTCAATACCATATGGTTCTGGGAAGTTATTTTTATCGATTTCACCTGCTATCGGTTCCATGTATAGTATAGCATGACAGGAAAAAAAGAATAAAATAATAAATTTATAATAACTTAAATAGCTACTGAAAGGGTTTATTATTATAAAAAAATTAAATATTATTTCAAATGTTTATTTGGTACCAGTTCGATTTCAGTATAAACATACCACATATTTTTATTCAAAAAGTCACCAACAATTTTGTGCTTGTTTTTTTTTTCATTTCATAATTTATTTTTTTGCTGATTTTACATTTTTTTAGTTCTTTTATACGAATCATTTCGTATTTACCTCCCCCCCTCTTGGGAAGCGATAGCCAACGTCTCATTTATTACATAGTATTGAATTGATTTTCCCATTGTCTTCTGACATGTGTGTTTTGTAAACGTCAGTACACTAATATAACAATAATAGGAATAGTGCGATCATATTGGAAAAAATTAAGACAACTTCGACCAACAATCACCACACAATAATAAATAAGATTTTTTTCTTTGGATATCTTAATTTCTTAGAAATCTGGGAAATAAATATTCAATTTGGGATTAAAAGTACACAGTTTCAACCTTTCGGCATTTTTAATTTTAATTAACTGCAAAGTCACTAAGTAAAGTTAAGCTATCCGTATAGTATACTGACAACACTTGTAATTTTAAATTTGATTCCCTTTGATGATCACCTCCACGATCAAACAAAAATATCTGTAACTAAATCAAAAAAGTCTATAATCAAGTATTATTTAAAAAAAAAAATCACCTCTTAGAAAGTGTGTCGAGACAACGAGACGCAATGCTGACAACAATCCCATTTTAAGTAAGACGCATAAGGTTGATTTGATTTTCCGGTAAAGAAAAAATTTTAAAAATAGGCCGACGTCATTAATGTATATTATCGTTATCGAAGGTGTGTTGGTCTAAGTCCGTTTACATTGAAAAAAAAATGTCTTGACTCAGTCGAGTAATCAATAACTATAAATGCTTAAATAAATACATTAAGTGAACCTATCGGCAAGAAGTCAAACATTTAAGTTTACTTTACAAATTTACTCTAAATGGCCGCTGAAAATGATTATAAACAGCTGTTATAGGCGCATAAATAGCTAATATAACTGAATGTAAACAGCTATTCATTTTTAAGCAAAGGTTTACAGTGTAACATACTAACATTATATTTATTTATTATTCTGAAAAAGTATTTCACCTGTATTCCTTAGTGTACCTTTTAATATAACAGTATTGCTATCACATTTATGAAACAATATTACGAGTTCCATGATATGAAGGTAAACAGTTGAATCATAATACGCCATTTGTTGTTTTCTAAAGTCTTTAAAACGTGTACTCGAATAAATCTAAAGAGACTATAGTTCAAAATAAAATCAGAAAATCATCCTTTACTATGAAAAACCTACTACAAAAATTAAGCATTCAGTATTCAATTAATTATGAGTATATTGTAAAATATAAACTCTATATTTTAAAAATTACTTAAATTATGAAATTCAAAATTAAAGTGTAAATATTTACTATACTTTTGGTAATATTTTGATAAGTGTTAATAAGTGAACTTAGACATTTTTTTGTCACTCAAATCATTGGATAAATTTTAC